TTGCTGAGACGGCTGCTCGGCTGCACCTGTCAGGGTCCCCTCGTCAGCGCTACCACTAGGCAACCCGACTCCACCACCACCTCCACCTGCACCGCCACCCCCACCGCCGTGCCCAGCCTTGGGGCGGCGGCCCTTCCCGGAACGGATCTGCGCTGCAGCTGCAGACTCAGCCACAGCAGCAGAACCATCGGAGAAGGTGCACTAAGCAGGGGCACAACCTTGAAAGATAGGGACCGGCACAGTACCGCTAGTCTGGGCGATAGAGCGCTGGCGGGTCTCTATGGCAAACAGGGTGTCGACAAAGTCAGTGAGGGTGAGGTCACTGGGGTGGATGCTAAGGAAGCGGTCGCGAGCAGTAGCAAGACGGTCAGGGAGGCATATGGCAAGCAAGTCGAGGGTAGAGCAGAGGGGCGGCGGAAAGACACAAGGTCAGGTCGCGTCTAGCGTGCGTAGGTGAGTGGCCAGGTCAGCGTCAGTGGGGAAAGACACAAGGTCAGGAAAGAGCATGGGCAGGATCAGGCGACCTACAGAGGCAGCGGGCGGGGTGGAATAGCGCTTTACAACAGCATCTAGGAACTCACGCACAATCGTAACCGACCGAAAGCGAGGGCGCTCAGACAGGGGGAGGGCATGACTGATCGCAAGCTGTGCTACGGCGTCACGCGACAACCAGACTGAGCGGGCAAGGGCAGCAGCTGCAGCGGACTCACGGTCAGCGGACGAGGGGTCAGCGGGCAGGGCAGCAGGGGGGTCAGGACAGGGAAGCATATCGACAAGGTGGACCGCCAGGGAGTGGCCAACCTGCCGCTGACCAGTGAGATGACGGCGGAGGTCGACCAACCACATGTCAAACTCTAGCGGCTGACCCTCTGCATCGAAGCGGAGCACGGAGTCTGCCATCAGGATCAATGCAGTAGCAGTGCAATGTAGTGCGAAGCGGTGCAGAGCGGTGCAGTGTGGTGCACTGCTGTGCAGTGCGGTACTGTACGGTGCTGTGCGGTGCAGTGCAGTACCGAAGGGTGAGGTGCGGTGCAGAGCGGTATCGAGTGGTGAGGGGCGGTGCAGTGCGGTGCGGTATGGCGCGCAGTTACACAACGGACGCTGGGGTCGGCGGCGGGCTGGCTGATGAAAAGGGACGGGCGCGGGGGCCGACTAGGAACGGGCGCAAGGGGGCCAGCTGGACCGGGCGCGAAGACCGGTGAGGGACGAGCGTGAGGGCCGGCTAGGAACGGGCGCACGGGGCCGGCTAGGAACGGGCGCGAGGGGCCAGCTAGAACGGGCGCGAGGGGCCGGCTAGGAACGGGCGCGAGGGGCCGTCGTGAAAGGGCGCAAGGGTCGGCTAGGACCAAGCGCGAGGGCCGATGAGGAATAGGTGCGAGGGCCGGCTAGGACGGGCGCGATGGCGCGAGGGGCCGGCTAGGACGGGCGTGACGGCTTAGGGGGGCCGGCTAGGGCGGGCGCGACGGCTTAGGGGGCCGGCTAGGAACGGGCGCGACGGCGCGAGGGGCCGACTTGGACGGGCGCAACGGCTTAGGGGGCCGGCTAGGATGGGCGCGACGGCTACGGGGGGCCGGCTAGGCCGGGCGCGATGGCGCGGGGGGCCGGCTAGGATGGGCGCGACGACGTGTAGGGCCAGCTAGGACGGGTGCGACGGCTCAGGGGGCCAGGTAGGGCGGGCGCGACGGCTCAGAGGGCTGGCTAGGAACGGGCGCGACGGTGCGAGGGGCCGGCTAGGACGGGCGCTACGGCTCAGGGGGCCGGCTAGGACGAGTGCGACGGCTACGGGGGCCGGCTAGGACGGGCGCGACGGCGCGGAGGGCCGGCTAGGGCGGGCGCGACGGCTCAGGGGGCCGGCTAGGAACGGGCGCGACAGCACGAGGGGTCGGCTAGGACGGGCGCGACGGCTCAGGGGGCCGGCTAGGACGGGCGCGACGGCGCTAGGGGCGCAAGGGGCCGGCTAGGAACGGGCACGAGGGCGGCTAGGGCCTAGGGCGAAAGCGCGGGCTGGCTAGATGGACCTAACCTACTCATGATTCCATGTTAGAATGAGAGAATGAACTAGAATGGGAGAGTACAAGGGAGTATAACCTAAAAGCTGTACCCTCTAAGACACAAACCTATACAGTCTATAGAAACATAACAATATATGCTTGACAGATATTGCCAAAATGGCGAGGAGCAGAGCCGCTAACAACACGCGTCAACGCCATCACGCTGACACGCGCGGTCAAGAAAGGCGCAGACATGTACGCTATCCATTTGAAGGAATCAACTGACGACAACTGACCAGTCGACATCGAGAAGCTCTGCGCAGCAATCCCCGAAGATTTGGCAAAACTGATTCGTTAGTTCCCATATATGTTTCCGGACGACCTGCCTCTTGGCCTACAACCAGAACGCCCTCAAGTCCATCGGATCGAACTCGAACCTGGCGCGCAGCCAATTGTCCGGACACAGTGGCGGCTGACGCAACCATAGCTTTAGGAACTACGGGACCAGCTAGACTATTTGCTGGCCAAAGGATTCGTTCGACCGATTACGACCTCGTTCGCTACCCCGATCCTGTTCACACCTAAGAAGGATGGGGGCCTCCGAATGTCCATTGATTATTGCGCCCTTAATTGGGTTACGATAAAGTCTCGCTACCCAACTTCGTGAGCGGGCGAACTGATTGAGCAGCTGCAATGTGCTCGCTATTTCTCGAAGATCGACCTTCGTGACGATTACCACCAGATACGAGTCTTCGCCGATGATTGCTACAAGACCGCATTTCGTACTTGCTGTGGGAGTTACGAATACACTGTCATACCGTTCAGGTTAACGAATGCCCCATCGACGTTCCAACTGACGATGAACAGGGTATTCCGGGATCTACTCGATAAATGTGTGATAATTTATCTTGACGATATCCTGATTTACAGGACGGCATGGGAGCAGCACTGAAAGGACTGGGAAGCGGTTTTTTAGTGCTTGTAGCAGAATAGTCTCATCACCAAAGGCTCTAAGTGCGAGTTTTTAAAACCTGAACTAGAGTTTTTGGGGCACATTATTTTGACAGAGGGCGTAAAGATCGACCCCCGCAAAATTCAGACCCCTGTACACAACAAAGAAATGCTGGCGATCGTGCACGCGATCAAGATCTGGCGATGCTACATGACGGGAGCCGATGTGACTGTACGAAAATTCACAATTCCCTAATGTACCTGCGAGCGCAGCCGAATCTCAACCCGCGGCAGATTCGCTGGTTGGATTATCTGGACTCGAACTTCACGTACCGAATCACATACAAGAAGGGTGCCAAAAACATTGGTGACGCCCTCTCAAGACATCTGCCCAAACCGCCGCTGTACTAATCGCCCAGACGAACCCGCTACCGAGCAGACTATTTCCCTACAGATATTCGACCGATCCCTTTTACGTAAAAGCGGGAACGAAACGAATTTGGGTTCTGAGTTATCGTCTACTTCACGAATTTCTAATTCAAGAAGTCCACGATTCGAACTTATTGGGACATTTCGAGGTTGACAAGACTCTGAAGGCACTGCAACGGTTTTATTACTGGCTAGACATGATTTTGGATGTGCAAAAGTACGTGGGCGCGCGTCCGACCTGCCAGACGATAAAATCATCACGTAAGCGGTCAGCAGGACTGTTGCAGCCCCTCGAGCCACCCCATCGACCTTGGCAACAAGCCAAAATCACTGCCCGCCAATACGCCGACCGCCAAAGACAAGATATTACATTGACTGCAGGAAAACTAGTCCTCGACACAAAAAACCTTCGCCTGCAAATACCGTCAAAACTTCGACCCTGCTATTATGGACCTTTCGAGATTATCAAGATGATAACGCCACTGACCGCCAACTCCGCCTGCTCGATGACTGGAAAATTCATAATTCCTTCCACGTCAGCCTCCTTCGTCCTTTTGTTGCCGACACGTCAAACGTCGCCCGACAGCCGATCGCCCAGGATCTACGGCCAACCCAGGAGATGCTCATCGAAGAACCTAAGCCATCGCATAAGAATCAACGGCCAAGAACGACACGTTGACTTTCTGATACGATGGATTCATCGTACCCGCGAGGACGACACGTGGGTTCCCTCGGTACAAGTACAGTCGCATGCTGTACTCTGGGATATTTTTTCCTGCAAGCACGTCACAAATATAGACCACCTTCGCTAGAGGGGGGATAGTGTAAGGATTTTTCCATTCCTTAGCGCGCCGCACCGTTAACGCGTACACCCACCCCACACGGCACTGACATCCGCCCTAGCTTCAGCCCGAACATGGCACCAAACCATTTCCGCGTCACTTCGAAGCTCTCCGCGTCATCGGATGCCTTCTTCAAACCTGTTCGGTCACACGGCTAGGATTGTTCTGGTGTTCCTATATCTTGCTTCGTCATTCAATTGTATCACGTTATGTTATTCTGAATCTCGACATTCGATTCCGCGCTACTCTGGTTAAACACTCATAACACCTCATATGAGACTTTATGATCTTCTCTCTTCTTACCCCTGCACCCCTCTCCACCATGAGCCACTTCACCTACCCGTAAATATGACATACACTTCAAATGCTTCAAATACTCATGAAACATCTTGTCATATAGTTTGAACCAATATGGCTATGTTTGTGTTTCTAGCATGACATATATCGGACGAGCGTGTTTGGATCAAATGTAGTTGTGGGCAGCTCTGTTTTGATCCTGAAAGTCCTGCGCTCACAATCGAAGCCAAGCTTCATAGTACTGCTTGTGGACGTGTTTCTAGACCAGAGTGGCCACGACAGACCTGGCTTGTGGTGACTAGATGGGTCACTCAGACAGGTTACACGTCGGCTGCGCTTTGGATCCTCGTAGGTGACGACTCGCCAGGCTGGCCTCTGAAATGCATCAGGCCTAGAATTGCGAATTGTGAATGTTGATGCAGTTCGCGTTGACAAATTTCCCCCTTACAGCTCAACTACATCAGTTCACTCCTCCCGTGTTTCCTGCACATTCACGTATTTCCTGCCTCTGCCAACAGCAGAAGACACACCCCCAAGGCTTGCTCTCTCGAATCGCGTAGTTCTCGCCTCGACGCTTGACATCATAAAGCAGCACTTTTTACATCTCATCATTCAGAAGCGCCATCGACTACCAGATATTCCCTGTCACTAATTTCGACCCTAAACCCTCCATTGTTCTTGTCCGCTCGCTTTCACTCGAGGAAATGGCTCTCTCGTGCAACCAGGCAGCTGTTCTGTCTTCCGCCGCTTTCTCGAAGCCCCTGTTCTCCGCATCATCCGTTTCTCAGCTAAACCTCAGGACATGTGCTGTACGCGGACTTCCCGCAGTCAGGGCTGAAGCTGCACCCGCCGCCGTAAATCGGCCCGACTCAAATGTCCCCGCCACTCCCGTGACGCCTTCCGGCGCAGCCATGGCGGATTTCCTCGTCACTTTCAGCCGCACGCTGAACCACGCTCCTGGGAACGGCAAGAGCATCGCCGGTGCTGGGAGGGCTCTTCTTTCCCGCGTGCGGAGCGGGATCAGCGACCTTGGCAGGGATGCGGATGTGGAGTCGCAGGTCAGGCGACAGCTGCGCGTCGCAGAGGCCGAGCGACTGCTTCTGGCGATCGAGAGCGACCTTGTGCAGATTGCCATTGACGAGTCCGTGGAGTCGAACAGCGTTCCCGTGCAGCTGCTTCGCATGCACTGCGCCCAGGCTGCTAGAATCCTCAGAGTGCTTTGAGGAGGCTGTTTTGCCCCGCCTGTGGCGGGACTGCCCTGCACTTGTGTATATTTTTGTGGGAATCCCAGCCTGCAGCCGTTTGTTTTTGCTGCTTCGGGATCCTGTTTATTCATCAGCTTAGTGTTGATTTCATTATCAACCTTCTAATCATTCGGTATATTACATTCCATTCCGCACTTGCATGAACCTTAGCTGTTTGGCACATGGTGTCGCGCGTTGAAGACAGGGTAGGCCGGCATTGCGTGGTTAACCTATAGTAGATTATTATGGGTAACCAAACGACGCAGCATCTCGACATAGTATGATACTCCCAGGGCTAATTTTTCGTTTTTCAAGACCTTGCGGTCTCAGAATTCGTGTCACTAAAAATCTTGAAAATTCAGCATTCCCTGGGAAATCTCTCTTTATTTCAGGATTACTTCGACCTTCAATCTGAAATTCAGGGTGTTTTTTGTGACTCCTGTGGGCACTTAGAGTAAGAGCAGGAAGGATGTCGATGGAAGAAACGATGGAGAAGAATACAGAACACACGCTTGCTGCTGCTGCTGTCCCTCCCACACCAAGTTCGACTCTTTCCTTAATCGCGACAGAAATGCGTACAACTTAGAGGGACAGTGGGCAACCTGGCTAAGGTTATGTCTGACAGCCCTGCACTTATGTAGTGAAAGTTCTAAAAACTGAATGAATGATGGAGTAGAGAGAGAGTACAGGTGATGTACCTAAGTGTTGTACCCTCTAAGAGGTGGCCCTATACAGTCTATGCAAACATAGGAGATACACATGTTTGACACACCCCCTAGACTGCATAGGGGCAGGTCCTAAACAAGCAGCTCAGGGCGGCACTACTAGTCCAGCCACTGAGACAAGGGTCTAAAAGACCAGTCACAAGGAGTACAGACAAGGCGAGAACAAGACCAGGGCGGCACTACTAGTCCAGCCACTAAGAGAGGACACAAGTCCAGTCTGAGTACACATATAAAGGACAATACAAAGTCAAGGCCCTAGCAAGTGCGAGGCTACAGGAACTAGACCAAGCTGTACACAGTGCCGCTGATGATCTTTAGGCGCAAGCGCCTTCGTGAAGATATCAGCTGTGTTAGCACCTGAGGCCAAGTGTACTACGCGAGCCTGACGTCGCTGCTGTAGCTCGCGCAGGAGGAAGTACCGCAGCTGGATGTGCTTCGCTCTGCCCTCGAGTCGAGGCTCCTGACACAGGAGGATCATGGCCCTGTTGTCATCGAACAGGACCGGGGCAGAGCTAGGCCGCTCACCTAAGTCAGTGAGCAAGAAGGTCAGCCAGCGGAGCTCCTGTGCCGCCATGGCACCAGCGTAGATCTCGGCCTCACAGCTGGACTGGGCAACAGACGAGGAGCGGGTAGCTCTCAACGAGACGGCACCTGAACCAAGGTTGAAGCAGTAGCCCTGGGAAGACCTGAGTGTCTCGGCGTCGTCTGCCCAAGAAGCGTCTGTGTGTCCAGTAAGGACCACTGGCCTGCGTCCTCCTAGCACTAACCCCATGCCTCATGTACTAGCAAGCTAACGCAAAACCCTCTTAGCGGCAGACCAGTGCTGCGGTCGGTGTCTGCCTGTGGCCACAAAGCAAGCCAGGATGCTGAGAGGGTATGCAAGATCTGGGCGACTGCAAGTCATCAGGTACATGAGGCAACCCACCAGCTCTGCATAGGGGCCACTGGGCTCTACCGAGTCCTCATTAACTGGAGCAGAGAGTCTGTGGTCTACAGGCAGAGGGGTGGGCTGTGCAGAGGGGAACTGAAGGCCGAACCTCTGAAGGACCTAGCGCACCAAGTGTGACTGAGTCAGGGTGATGGTGCGCGCTGCTCTGTCCCTGGAGATCTGCAAGCCAAGGTAACGACGCAGTTCTCCAAGGTCAGTGCACGTGTGTCTCTTCAGCAGCTCTGCCTTCACCGAGGCCAGTGCGTCCCTGTCTGCTGTGGCAAAGACCAGGTCGTCGACGTAAACAACGATGTAGAACGGAGTCTGGCCAGCACGAACGAAGAGTGAGGGGTCTGCGGAAGACGGAAAGAACTGCATGTCAGCAAGGGTAGCACGCAGCGTGTCGTGCCACTCACGGGGAGCCTGGCGCAGGCCGTAGACGGGGCGCCATAGGAGCCACTGGGTCACAGGAGGGAAGGTGCCAGTAAAGCCTTGAGGGCGACGCAAGTAGACCTGCTCGTGTAGGCTGCCCTGAAGGAAGACAGTGTAGAAGTCGAGGGAGTGAAGCTCGTAGTCACGCTGAGCAGCTAGGTGTAACAGAACCCGAAGAGTAGTCATCTTCGGGGTCGGAGCGAAGGTCTGGAAGAAGTCCATCCCCTCACGCTGACTGAAGCCTCTAGCCACGTAGCGCGCCTTGAACACAGGCGGCTCTCCAAGAGGGCGCTTCACCTTGAAGAGCCAGCGGCCATCGACTACGTTCACCCCAGGCGGGGGAACCGCGTCGACGAAGGTGTCGGTGAATCTCCAAAATGCCATCTCCTGCTCCATGGCAGCTATCCACTGCGAGGCCCAAGGTCCCGAGGTCGCCTTAACGTAAGTGCGAGGGGTCGGGATGTCGAAAGCGTCTGGGTCACCCTCAGGGACTAGCAGCATGGAACAGAGATGGGGAGCAGCCTCGGACAGGAAAGCAAGCTCGAACTGGCGGTCCTCTAGGACGTCACTGCCGAGGGCAGGAGCACCCCCGACAAACGGAGGACAGGCAGGGTCAGAGACCAGAGCGGTGGCGTAGTCAAGGCGGCAGGTAGAGACAAACTCAGCGACCGCAGCTACAAGAGCGTCAAGACACGAGACCGGAACAGACGGGTCGGTAACGAGAGAGGCAAGGACCCGAGGAACAAGAGGACGAGCGGCACGAAGGTAGTCAGACAGAGGGGGGGGGGCAACAACAAGGGAGGACGGAGGAGGCGACGGGAGAAGGGGAGGACGAGACGCGTGGGAACGAAGCAACATAGGGTGGGAGCGCAAGTCAGGGGAGACAGGACGAGCACGGGAGGGATGGCGAGACCAGACGTGAGACGGAGGAGTCGGGTCAGGAGACAGAGGAGGGGACACAGGGGGGGAACGAGGGGGAAGACGAGCCGGGGACGAGTCCGGCGGAGGGAACACAGGGCCGTAGACGGGAAGAGGAGGAGACGGCAGGAGAGGAACCGACGCAGGGTCAGGGGACGGAAGGCCGAGCAGGCGAAGGGCTGACACCGGCGGGGACTGCTGCTGTGGCGGCACAACGCCGACACCGGGACCGCAAGCTGCTCCTCGGCTACCACCGGCACACTCCACGCCAGCACCCCCAGAGGGAACACCCCCAGGGCTCGAAACCCCTCGAGGACCGTTACCACCCCCAGGGCTACGGGGACTAGCACACACTCCAACGCCAGCACCACCTGAGTAAACGAACGGGTGCTGCGACAGCGGCGGCGGCAGCGACAACGACGGCTGCGGCGGTGGCGGCGGAGGTGAGAACGTCTGTGACAGCAGGGGCGATGGCGGCGGCAGAGGCGGTGGAGGAGGGGACGCCTGGGGAGGGGCAGCCAGCAAGGACTGCGCCGCAGGACCACCAGAGTCAGAAGACTCCTCAACCGGGACCACCGACGGAAGAGGGGTGACATGGGACACACAAGAGGGGGCAGGACGGGGAGGAGGAGGGGGGGGGGCAGGGACCACCGGGGAAGGAGTGACCACAAACAGGGGGGGGGTAACCGGGGGACCGCGGTGGGGGAAGCGACGGTAGAAGGAGACGGACTCGTCAAAGGTGACGTCGCGAGAGTGAAAGAAGCGGTGAGACGGCGAGTGGTAGAAGTGCCAGTCGGACGCGTCAAGGGGAAAACCGAGGAAGACGCAGGGAAGGGTGCGGGCAGTGAGCTTGTCCGTGCCGGAGGCGCGGATGTGAGCAAGGCAGCCCCAGACGTGGAACGCAGACGCGTTACCAGGAGACCCAGTCCAAAGACAGGTCGGCGAAACCTGCGGCTGCTGGGGGTGCAGCCACAGGTTAAGCTGGTGAGAAGCGTAGCGCACAGCGAACGGCCACAGAAAATGGGGTGCACCGGCATGGATCATGGAGGTGCGAGCCACCTCCATCACCAAACCGATGCGTCGCTCAGCGACCCCATTCTTCTGTGGGGAGTCCGGTAGGGTGAACGTCTGGGTGATGCCCTCCGCACGACAAAAGCGACCAAGGACACCTGAGGCAAACTCGCCACCACGGTCGGAGTGAAGACGCAAGACAGGGAGACCTCGGTGGACACGGGCAGAGACAAGCTAGGGGATGAGAGCGTCAGGCACGTCGGCCTTCCGCTCCAGGGGAAAGACCGAGGTGTAGCGAGTGAAGTCGTCGACAAGCACGAGGAAGTAGCGCTCTCGACGCGGCCCATGGACGGGGGCGGGGCCCCAGACGTCCATGTGCAGGGTCTGCAGCGGCGCGGCGGTAGGGGGAAACGAGGAGGAGTGAGGGGCACAGCGAAGCCGACCCTCGACGCAAGGCGCGCAAGGTGGGGCTGGGGAGGAGGGAAAAGCGGGTAGCACAGCAGGGGGGTCTGGGCAGGGGAGCGTACCATCAAGGTGTGCGGAAAGGGGGTGGCCATCATGCCGATGGCCAGTGAGGTGGTGACGGAGGTCGGTGAGCCACGCCTCGAACTCCAGAGGCTGGCCTTCTTTGTCGAAGCGAAGCTCCGCCGCCATAAGGAGCAGTGCAGGACTGTACAGTGCGGTGCAGTGCAGGGCAGCGCGGTGCAGTGCGGTGCAGGACGGTGCAGTGCGGTGCAGGGCGGTACCGTGCGGTGCAGCACTGTGCTGTACGGTACAGGTGATGGGGAACCGTACCAGGGAGGATGCAGGGCCGGGGCAGGGACGACGAGCGGGCCGCACACAGCTCGGGGCAGGACAGGCGCGGGGGCCAGGAGCAGCGGGCACCAGGCTGACGGGACGGGCGCAGGGCCGACGGGACGGGCGCGGGGCCGGCTGGGACGGGCGAAGGGGCCGAGCAGACGGGCGCGGAGGTCGCGAGGGCGGGCGCGGGGCCGGCTGGGACGGGCGCAGGGGCCGAGCGGACGGGCGCGGAGGTCGCAAGGGCGGGCGCGGGGCCGGTAAGAACGGGCGCAGGGTCCGAGAAGGCGGGCGCGGAGGCCGCTAGGGCAGGCACGGGGTCGGCTAGGACGGGCGCAGGGGCCGCTAGGGCAGGGACGGGGCCGGCTAGGACGGGCGCTAGAGCAGGCGCGGGGGCCGCTAGGGCGAGCACGGGGCCGCTAGGACGGGCGCTGGCGCGGGGCCGGCAGGAACGGGCCCAAGGGGCCGAGAGGGCGGGCGCGG